TTCCCGGCAACAGAGGGCCTAGTACTGAGCTCTTGTCTCCAAGAGCCCCTCATCCCCCCAGGGCAAATCGCTGGCAGGGATGCAGGAGACAGGTCAAGGGAGTAGCCACGGCTGATCAGGAATAAATAACCACAAAGCAGGGTTTAGGTTTCAACCTGCTCACCTTTCTCCTCTTCCTCAGAGGGCCCATGACTCTTCACAGTTAAGGAAGACACCTAGGTGTAAAGGAAGGGCTTGTGGGCAGGCTTGGCCTGCCCTCAGTGCTGCTGCACATGGTTAGACAGACTCCAACACTTCAGCCGAAGTCGCACAGGCGATGTATGGGGCTGGATGGCCAGGGGAATGCAAAGTGTTGGGGAGCAGAGGGGACAGGGAGAGAGGATGGGCCAGGGGCCTCAGGGGTGTGGGAGGCCCTGTCTTTATTTTTTCTCTTTGTCAGTGAGTCTATGTGCTTGTATATCTACGTGACGGTTTTTGTGTGCTCTGCATGTGACTAGGAGTTCATGGGCCAATGGGCCTGTGTGTACTTCTGTGCCCGTGAGCCTGACAGTCCCTGTGGGACCCTGGCTGACCCTGTGCCTACATGTGACATTGCCTGTGTGACCGTGGTCAAAGTTTCACAGTCTATCCAACCTCAAGCCTTACCCTCAAGTCCTCCCTTCAGATTTAGTATCTTCCTTACCGTGAAAAGGCACGGTCCCTCGGAGGAAAAGGAGAGAAGTGAGCAGGTCGGCATCTGCCAGATGAGTTTCTCAGCGCAGTTGGCTGAGATCTGATAGGGAGAGGTCCTGAGAGATCGGGTGAGGGATCGAAGGGGGTGAGGGGAAGAGTGGGGAGGGCGTGGCTTGCCTGGTGGTTGGTGTGATGGAGACTGCATGGCTGTTTCTGACCAGCTGGAACGTGGCTGCTGAAAAAGAGGGGATCCTGCCGCAATGCCCCTGTTTGGGGCACAGGGGACACAAACCAATGAATCCCCACCTGTCCTTCTGGCCTCCCATGTAGATGTGCTCCCTTGCCTCCTCTCGACCCAGCAGGAGTTTCCTGGGGTTACTGGGGACACTGCCACTCTGGAGCAGAGCAGTCCCTGAGAAAGGACAGAGAGGACAAAGGGCCCTCCGAGCAGCTCAGACCTCGGTGGGGCCTGAATTCACTTCTTTTCTATACATATTTATTGAGTCTATAGGGGCCGGGAACTGAGCCAGGGGTTAGGAGACAGATGCAGTTTCTGTCCACACAGGAGTGAGGGGAGGGTTCCCAAGGAGTCCCCACACGCCTGGCTAACCTCCCAGTATGTGCCAGGACAGCCAACCCTGCAGTCCGTTCTGTGGGCGCCCCTTGTCTCCAGGGTGAGGGGTGGACATGCACACACGGGGAGCGAGGCGGCGGCCGGCAGTGCTGCGGCGGGGGGAGTGGGTCAGGAGTGGGCCTGGGGCTGGGGGAAGGGCTGTGCGGGACCTGGCCTGAACAGGCTGTTTGGGATGAGTACGTGTTTTTGTTTCCGGGGCCACCAGAATAGTATCCTAGAATCACAGGGGCCGGGGGCATGGGGTTCCAAGGACACGTCCGCTGGCCTCCTCCACAGCACTGTCCCTTGGCATTTCCTCACCCTCCCTCTCAGCACAGTAACAAAAGCTGCTGTTTACTGGGCGGTGAGCCAGGCGGCGCTCAATGCTTTGCATACCTCTCAATGTTTAGGTCACACAAAAACCCTGAGGATGATGTATTATAACCATTTGATGTTATAAATGAGGAGACTGAGGCTGGAAGAGGTCCTTGGTGGCAGGGCTAATAAGAGGCGGGGCCAGGATTCAAACCCAGCTCTGTGGACTGGAGCAGGGCAGTTTCACGAGGCCTGTGTTCTGCACAGCCTTGTCCCAGAGCCCTGGCTCCTGCTGGAAAGAACTCAGCTGGGGAGACTCAGGAGCCAGGTGGGGCAAGAAGAAGCTGGGAGGTTAGGAGGGAGGCTGCCTTTGGGTGGTGCAAGCAGAGTGGGCCCATGTTGGCCTCTCCTCTTGGGTGGCCTGTAAGGCTATCAAGAGTGGGTAGAGGATTAGAGAGAGGGCTTGGCCTGGGACTCGAGCTGTGGTGGAGATGGCTGGGGATGGAGGCATGCGTGTTCTCCAAGGTGGAGAGACAATGTTGTCCAACCTGGGGCCCAGTCGTTACCGCCAGGTCAGCCTCCCGGCGGTCATCCCCACTGCCAGCCAGGAGAGAGCCACAGAACGCTAGCTCTCCGGCCCTGAAGACGCTGTGGCCGCCCCGGCTCCCCTGTAACACTCAAGCCAGTTGGAAGTGGGAGGGAGAGGCTCTGAGAACTCGGCGACCCAGGCTGTGGGCAGAGGCCATGTGCTACAGTGGAAGGACACCAGCGTTAGGGTCCCACGGACGTGAACTCCAAGTGCCATTTAGCCTTTACCAGCTGGTGGCCTAAAGCAAGTTGCTTAACCTTCATAGCCTCAGTTTCCTCAACTATAAAATAACAAAAATTGTGAGCATTAAACTAATATGCCCTGCTGACATGTTAGTGTTACTCCATTCTACATATGAGCCTTGGGGTTCAGAGAAGATAAACAACTTGCCCAAGGCCGCAGGCCAGCTTCTGGACAGAAGGTGTGAGCACCAAGCTATTCCAAGCCTGTAGATGCAGTTTCCTGCACGCAGTTTCTTCCCCCGTGTGCCACGCCCAGTGCCGCCGGCTTCAGCAGAAGCCCCGCCTTGGAGGCCTGGAAGCAGCTCAGTCAAATCCAGCTCCCCAGGGCCTTCCATAGCTCCTCAGCTCCTGGTAGCACTTTACATTTCACGGAGCCTTTTTACCCATATTATCTAATGGGTCATTCCAATAGCCCCGTTTCCACCCATTTAACAGATGAGAGGTCAGGAGACCCTTAGGTGCCTTCTTTGGGATCACACAGGTGGGAAACGGCAAAGTTAGCCTTGAACCCATTCCAGTCCCTCATGGTTGCCTTCAGAGCACTCCGGGAGAAACCACACACTACCTGTCGTTTTCACCTCAGTGTGTGTGTGTGTGTGTGTGTGTGTGTGTGTGTGTGTTCCCCTATTCAAAGACCATATTTATTTTTTAATTTTTCAAAATTTAGTAATACACGATTAAAAAGTCAAAACATTCTGGGCAGAAGAATTCCAAATAAAACCATAATTACATAGATAGTCCACCCCCAAGTAGATGGAGCATAACTCCCCACTCCTATAGTGTGGGTTTCATACAATGACTTCCTTCCCAAGAGCACAGTATAGAAATTAGAGAAGAACAATCTCTTCAATAAATGATGTTGGGAAAATTGGACAGGTGTATGCAAAAAAAAAAATAAATAAATAAAATGCAACTAGACCACCAACTAACACCATACACAAGAATAAATTCAAAATGGATAAAAGACTTAGGTGTAAGTTGCGAAACCATAAAAATTCTAGAAGAAAACATAGGCAGTAAAATCTCAGACATCTCTCAGAGCAATATTTTTGCCAATATGTCTCCGAGGGCAAGGAAAACACAGGAAAAATAAACAAATGGGATTACATCAAACTGAAAAGCTTCTGCACAGCCAAAGAAACCATCAACAAAACAAAAAGGAAACCTCTGTTTGGGAGAACATATTCGCCAATGATACATCTGATAAGGGATTAATCTTCAAAATATATAAAGAACTCATACAACTCAACACCAATCCAAACAATCCAATTAAAAAATGGGCAAAGGATGTGAATAGACTCTTCTCCAAAGAGGACATACACATGGCCAATAGGCATATGAAAAAATGCTCGAGATCACTAATCACAGAGAAAGATGAGAATTAAAACTACAACGAGGTAGCACCTCACACCTGTCAGAATGGCTACTATCAATAAATCAACAAACAAGTGCTGGCGAGACAACAGGGGTTAGAGCTGAGAGACCACCCTTGATCTCTGTCGAGGTCATCAGAAACAAGGAAAGCCAGAGAAACTGTCACAGTCTCCAGGAATCTACAGAAACATGGTGACTAATGTTATGTGGAATCCTGGGTGAACTTCTGGACCGAAAAAGGACACTGAGTAAAAACTAAGGAAATATAAATACAGTGTGGGTTTTATTAATTATAATGCATTAACATTGGTTCACTCGTTGTAACAAATGTACTATACTCACACTAAAATAGAGGACACTGGGTGTAGGTATATGGGAACTCTCTTCACAACATTTATATAAATCTAAAACTGTGCTTTAAAAAAAAAAAAAGGCTTATTTTTTTAAAAGAGCTTTTCTGTCTTTTTCCCAAGAAAACCCTCATGGTTCTTTCCAGGGAGGAGCCAGTGAGACAACAGGGGTTAGAGCTGAGAGACCACCCTTGATCTCTGCCTTCTTCAGTTGTGTGACTCTGGGTAATTCCTTACCTTCTCTGTACTCCGTGTCCTCAAAGATAAACTCCTTACAGGATTAGTGGGAGTGTTAAATATATATACTAAGCACCTTATAAGTGGTTGCTTTTATCATGACAAATATACAAACAAATATATTTATGCAACAAATGTGTTAAGAAAAATACCCAAAACTTGTAAATAAGGCACACATAAAATTACTAAGTGCCCTTTCAGAGATATTTTAGACCATTGGCTAATAACCCCACCTATGGGTCATCTAGGGGAAGTCACTTTGTTTGACATACTGTTTACTATTGGTTGGAGCCCAGACTGTAAAGTCAAGATGTTAACCTGTAGAAGATCAATAAATAGCAAATTATTTCTGTCTGTTAGAGAGGAAAAAAAAAACAAAAAACACTTATGATTTTTTATTTCCAGGCAGAAATTAACTTTTTAAAAAAACATCTTTTTTATTATTTTATATTTTTTCTTTATTGATTTGAGAGAGAGAGGAAGGGAGAGAGAGAGAGCTAGAAACGTGAGAGAGAACATCAATTGGCCGCCTCCTGCATGCCCCCCACTGGGGATTTGGCCCACAACCTGGGCATGTGCCCTGACCGGGAATCGAACCAGCAATCTCTTAGTGCATGGGTTGATGCTCAACCACTCAGCCACACCGGCCAGGCAGAAATTAACTTTTTGTAACAACTTTGCAATCTTATTCCAGCATTCTTTTTCCACTCACTGTGAATAATGGCTTTCATTTCTTCCTTTGATTCATCCTGCTGGTTCACTCATTAAGTGGTTAAATAAATCTTGGTACTCACTTTATATTTGTATCAGTCAAGTTTAGCTCTGTGCAAATTTTACTTTGACAGATAGTAGTGTGCCATATGCACTGTTCTACCCCTTGGCTATTTTTCACTCAAACATCTGGAAGATAGTTTCATATCAGAACATAAAGAGCTTCCTTACTCCTGTTTTATCACTGTAAAGAATACATCATATTGGTGTACAGTAATTACACCCATAATCAATTTAGCCAGTCCCCTGTACACACAGGTTATTTCCACTCTTTCATTGTTGCAAACAATGTTGCATGAATAACCTCGTACACAGGATGACAAGCAGAAGGGTCTCTATAAGGCAAACGAGCCTATAGGAGAGGGTTGATTCCCTGCCCCGTCGGGCCTAGTCCATCTTCCCCTGGCTCTGTGCACACCTGGCCTCCTCCTGCCTCCTCCTCTGCATCCTGAGCTCCTGGTATTGCCAGACAGGAAGGGTCAGCGTGCAATGCCCCGCAGCCCTGGGCTCTGGCTTGCACTGGCTGGCAGATGAGGGTGCCTTGGAGAGGAGGATCTTGGGGACTTGGGGCTTGGAACTGGTACGGTCCCTGACCTGTAGCCACGGAGGGCACATGCTCAACACACCCTGAGGACTTTGGTAAGGAAGGAGGACCCGGGGCCCAGGGACTACCTGGGGGGACTGGGGTACGGGGGGAGGGGGAGGAGCAGTGCCTAGCAACTCTGGCACAGACTTGCTTCTGGTTCCCAGTGCAGGTGGGCAGTCAGGGCACAGAGTACGGCAGGCAGTGGCGAGGAAGGGACTGGCTAGGCTGGTCGTGATGGTCACAAGATGGTCCAGGACACCCCCTTCCTGAGGAGACTGGGCAAAGGGGAGGCTCAAGGTGGCTTGTAATCTCTCTAGGAGAGATGGGGCAACCCGGGCCTGGGCCACGAGCCCAGGCAAGGCCTGCCACTCCAGTTGGTAATGCTGGCTGAGCTGCTCCACCCGCGGCCGCCGCAGCAGCTGCCGGATCCTTTGCGCAGCCTGGAAGCTGTCCGTCAGCACCGCCCACTCCAGGGCCGTCTGGCCCCCGCACAGGATCCACCGCTGTCAGGTCGGCACCTGGGAGGTGCACAGGGCTGATGTGGGCTGGGACAAGGATAGGTGATTTGCAGAAGGGCAAAGTCTTTAGCAACAGGACTGATTGGGGTTAAGTTCAAAACCAGAGTCACACTCATCCTGCTACAGCTGGGACCTGGGAGCCTCAGTGGCTACAGCCCAGGCACAGGACCCATCTCAGATCCCAACCTCCTGCTTGAGACTGAAAGACAGAGAAACATGCTGGGTTTCCAAACCTGGAACAGAATAAGGACCCCAAAACCAAGGAACTGACTAGAGGGGTGGTGTGCAGGTTGCCCAAGAATGGGGAAGCCCAAGGTGCTCCCTCTGAGGTAGATGGGGGGGTCTTGCTGGTCCTTCTTTTCATCACCAAACCCCTCCAATCCTGGGGGAGTAGCAGTCACTCTGAGTCAAAGGTAGGAGTACAGAACTCCCTCCTTCTTACCCCAAAACCAATCTGACGGCTGGGGAAGGGAAGCGCTGAAGCCTGGGGTCCCCAAAGTGACCTACACAGGACAGCCACTCTCAGGGAACGATGAGGACCTTCGACTCCACAGACTGGATTTCACTCCAGAACTCCACACGGCTGCCTGTCTCTACTACAATCACTGCGATCCTGCAACCCTGGCTTGTCAGAGCTAGACGTCATTCCAGAGAAGGCCAACGCCTCCTATGCCGGTAAGGCCCAGAGAGGGAAGCCATTTGCCCGGAGTCACTCAGCCAGGATGAGAACGTGATACCAGCCTTTTTTATTTTAGGGTCTCCCCTTGGTCTGGGTTATCCTCTCACTTTCTTTTCTAGGATCTCCACTGACAATGTAAACAGAGCTAACTGTAGCTGGACTTTGTTGAGTGTGAGAAGCCCAAGCACACTCCCTTTGTCCAGGAAGCCAGCCTAGATTGATCTTCCATCTCCACCTCTCTCGGCAACTATGACAGCTGACTTTGAGTCTTTCGGGGTGACTGGGGGAAGGACCGGAGGCCGTACCTCCTGGTCCATCAGGCCCTATGCACCTGCCATGAGGAGCGCGGCCACACACTCAGAGCGGTCCCGGATGGCGGCCTTCATCAGCGCCGTTAGCCCCCGCTGGTCCCGGCGCTCCAAGTCCACGCCCAAGTAGTAGTTGAGCAGGAGACTCACCAGAGGCACGTGGCCTGCAGGACACCGAAGGCAGATCTTGGATACCAGGAAAGGGGTGGAGAAGCCTCAAACCCACCCTCCCCCCAACACTGCAGAGTCTGAGGTGGGAGAACATCACGCAAAGAGTGTGGGGCTGTGGCCCAGTTTAGCAGAGGGTGGGGGCAGCAGCCTCGCACCTGCTTGGACAGCCAGCATGAGGGCTGTGTCTCCTTCTTTGTCCTGTTGGTTCACATCCAGGAAAGGACAGCGGCTGAGGAGGGCCACCACACCTCCGAAGCCATGGTAGCATGCGATCATGAGGCCTGTCTGGGGGAGGGGCAGCTCAGCCCCTGTGCTTTCCTCCAGGAAATCCTGGGGTTCCTGTGCCCTCTAAACCCGGTGTCCCGGAGACGTCCCAGCCCCTGTGAAAACCCACTTTCACCCACTCCCTTCTTCCTGAGGACCCAGACAGTGGGTGTTGACCCTGAAACTCAGGATGAATACGGTGTGGCGGGGACACAGAACTGCCCCAGCTGCCCTGGGAAGCACCTTGGGTAGCTCACCCTCCCGTTGCCATCCACCTGGGTGGCCTCCTCTGGGGAGACCCCATCATCCAGCATGGCTTGAAGCTGGGCAGAGTCATTGCGAACACAGGCCCAGTACAGGGCCCCCAGCCTGCAGTCTGGGGCAGGGGTCTCACTGTCAGGGCAGTACGGTGCCTCAGACATGTCCAGTTCTCCCCTCCACGGTGGCAGCTAGTCCTCTTCCAGCCTGGGCAAGAAGGCGAGTCCCCCTCTTCACGCAGCTGACAGCTATAGCACAGAATGGAGGGGAGCAGTATCTCCCTGGTTCCCAGGGAGGGATCCCACCAGCTGCAAATCTCCCAACCCTTGTGTGTGTGGGGGGGGGGATCCTTCTCCCACCGGGGTATTCCCACCCATCCAACCTTGACCGAGGAAAGGTGGAGGCAGGGAGGGTGAGTGGCAGTAGCTCCAAGAGGGCAGAAATGGTTCATGGTGAGGATCCCAGTGAGATTCAAGAGGGGCAGTCTTCTCTTTCCCCTGGGACCTCACAGGGTTTGGAGGCTCCCTAGGAGGCAGTCATTGCTGGGGCCCACAGTATCCCCCAGACTCTTGCGAGCACACTCACCAGGTCTCTGGAGCGCCGGAGGTGGACCATCTCTCCTCAGAAGGCAGCGCAGGTGACAGATGGCTAGACTTAAGAAAAGAGCTGCTGCAAACACCCCTGCTCGGAGCTGGGTCAAGCCGGGTTAGTACGGATGTGGGCCGGGACGGGCGGGTGCCCTCCCCTACAGCCGACCAAGACCCACCTCACCGTCCTGCCCCGGTGGGTGGGGCCCACCTCGGGTCCTCCCCCCGCGGCGGCTCAGGGAGTAAGAGCCTGCAGTGCTCCAAATGCGCTCACCTTCCACCTCTGGGAGACCAGCTGCACTAGAAACAAACCCTTGGAAGGTGGAAGGGTCATGAGGTGTCTGAACACCTAAAGTCCCTTTCTCTTTGGCAGAGTGTGACTTCATGAGGTCGTGGTGGTGTGACAGGGTGTGAGTGTGGACACCTCACTAAATGGAGTTGATACTGGGGAAGCGTGGGGAGAGCCCCAGGATCACCTGGACCTATTTCTTTTAGGTTCTGCGGCCATTAAAACATAAAGAATGGCCTAATTAGGAGTACAGAAATTATGATATATTAACTTTAATGGACTAGTGTGGGCATGGTAGATTAAATAGGAAATATGTAACATGTATTAATATTAAATACATTAATGTAATTATTCAAATTAAAGTATTTATTGATTTTATAATAAATTATTTTTTAAATTAATATTAAAGTGAATGGATTGGTTTTGGACCTCAGAAAATTGAGCCAATCATATTCTTCTGTTTATACCATACCCAGTATCAGACGGAACAAGATCTCTCTTGCTTTATTTTACTTTATTTAGTTTATCTCTTTTATTCCTGATCCCCACACCTCATTCTCCTCCTACTTTTCTTTACCAATTAACACTTCTATATCCTTGAAAATGTACATTTTATTGAAAACTGTAGAGTTGATTTGTGTACATTTCAACTAATACCTTAGAATTATGTTACATTTATTTTCACTGAACGCTGTTTTCAAGACCTATCCTTGTTGCTTTCTGTGCGGTGTATCCGTTAGGGGCGCCTCTGATCATAAGTAATCCAAAGCTGACCTCAGTGGGGTGGTTGCTGCCATAGACTGGCTGCTCCACAATAATCCAAAACTCCTGTTAGTGTTTCTTCTGAACTGATGAGCTGGAAAGCTAAAACACTTCCCAGATTCCCTTGAGCTAGGAATCTTTGATTTAGGTTCTGCTCTTGTGCAAGACATAAATTTAGAACAGAGCTAAATAGCATGGGACATCCGTTTTGCTGTCACAGGTCATGGCAGATGCACTGGAGCTCTGGTGAGCAGCTTCCTGATTCATCAGCTTCCTGTAGCGGTGACTGTTGTTTTCCTGATCACTGGCAGAGGTCATGTGCCTCTCAAAGTTGGGATTTGTTCCTGGACCTAGAGCCTGCTTCTCCACCCTTTTATATTTAAACTAGCCAGATTTATTTCTGTTGTTTGAAATTGGACTCTAATGGATAAAAGTGACTTAAACAAATTAAGATTTGTTCTTCACACAAGATTTTAAAATTCATGGATAAGAAGCCTTTGGTGTTGATGTAACTTGATGTCAGGGTCTTCTCTGAGAATCTCTTGACTTTTCCTCATGGTCACAAAATGGCTGCTGCACCTCTACCCATCACAGTAAAATGTGGTGAATGCCCACTATGGAATTGTGCGCAGCAGTTGGAAGAAATCTACTAGATTATGTGTTAGTTAAATACACCATCCTTTTCAATAACCTCCCTTCTCTTTAGTCACCTTTTAGTTAAGTGTGACAATGTAACACAATTTTGGCCAATGAAATGCAAGTTAACAGTCTGATGGGTGAAGCTCCTGGAAACACTGCTGTATTGATAAAAGATGTGGGGCATACCTTTTTACCTCTTTCTTTCTTTTTTTTTTTTTTTTTTTATCCTCACCCGAGGATATTTTTCTATTTTTTGTACAGATAGAGTGGGAGGGAGAGAGAGGAAGGGAGAGAGAGAGAGAGAGAAACATCGATGTGAAGGGACACATCAAGTGGCTGCCACCCACACGACCAACCAGGGCCGGGGACAAACTGCAACCGAAGTACGTGCCCTTAGCGGGAACCGAACCCGGGTCTCTCCGGACCGCAGGCCGACGCTCTAACCGCTGAGCCAAACTGGCCAGGGCCCTCTTTCTTTTTTTCTCCCTTCTTCCTGCTGCATGCAATTCCATATGTGCATCCACCACATTTTACTTATCTATTCTTTCAGTGATGGACACATTGGTTGCCTCCTACTTCCTGTCTCTACAAATAATGCTGCAGTGGACATCGTTGTACACATCTAGTTGTGGACCTGCAAAAGAGCGTCTCTGAGATTGCTGGGTCATAGGGCACATACATGTTATTGACCAGGTGCCATCAGGTTGCTTTCTATTTCACAGTATACCCACTAGCAGTATGTAAAAGTCTCCCTACATCCTAGTCAACACTTGTAATTATTCAGCCTTCTAATTCTTCTCAATCTGATTGTACTGAACTATAAAATGATATTGCTATTTTACATTGTATTTTTCTGGTTATCAACAAGATGGGCATCTCTCCACATACCTGATAGCCATTCTTATTTCTCCTCCTATGAATTGCCTGTTCCTAGCCTTTGTTTAATGTTTTATTTAATTTTTCTGTTTTTAAATTGATTTTTTTCAGGAATTACTTTTTATATTCTAGACATTAAACCAGCCCATTATCAGGTAGGTTTTAGATGTGACAACTGTACTATAAACCATTGTGGTAGCTTTATCTGTAATGAACTTCATTGAAAGAAATCCTGAATTTTGATGTGGTTAAATTCATCAAAATGTCTCCTTATATTTTGTACTTTTGGGTCTTGTTTAAAAAGAGTTTCTCACTCCAAGGTCACAAAGATCTCATTTCTTTTATTAATTTTATAGTTTGTTTTTTTATCCTCACTCAAGAACATTTTTGCATTTATCTTCAGATAGAGTGGGAGGGAGAGAGGGAGACAGAGAGAGAGAAACATCGATATGAGAGAGAAACATTGACTGGTTGCCACCCACACAACCCCAACAGGGGCGGGGAGGAACTGCAACCGAGGTACATGCCTCTAGCGGGAACCGAACCCAGGACTATCTGGTCCACGGGCCGACGCTCTAACTGCCGAGCCAAACTGACCAGGGCTACAGTTTTGTTTTGTTTTTGTTTTTTTTTTAATATTTAGTCTTTAGTCCATCTAGAATTTACTTAAAAATTGTTTTAAATTTATTTTTAAGAGGGGGAGAAAGAGAGAGAGAGAGATAAGTTGTTCTTCCCCTTATTCATTGGTTGATTCTTTTTAAAAAACTGATCTTTTAGAGAGAGAGGAAGAGAGAGAGAGAGAGATAGAAACATTCATGATAGAGAAACATCAACATTGATAGGCTGCCTCCCACACACACCCTACTGGGTATGGACCCTGAAACATGGGCCTGTACCCTGACCTGGAATCAAACCAGCTACCTCTTGGTACATGAGTTGACGCTCAACCACTGAGCCACACCAACCAGGCTAGAATTTACTTTTATATATGGTGTGAGCAAGGGATCTGTTATGGACTGAATTGTGTCCCCTTAAAATTTATACATTGAAACCCTAACCCCCAATGTGACTATATTTGGAGAAAGAGCCTTTATGAAGATACTTAAAATTAAATAAGGTCATATGGTGGAGCCCTAATCCAGTAGGACTGCTGCCATTTTAAGAATAGGAAGAGACACCAGAGTGTGCACTCATGCACTCCCTGCCCCTACCATGTAAGCACAGTGGAAAGACCATGTCATGACATATTGAGAAGACAGCCATATTCAAGCCAAGGAGAGTCCTCATCAGAAACCAACCCTGCTGACCCAGTGATCTTGGACTTATAGCCTTAAGAATTATGATAAAATATATTTCTGTTGTTTAAGTGATCCACTATGTGGTATTTTGTTATGGCAACACGACTGGATAATTTCCTTAAATGTGTCATCCACTTTACTAATTCTCTCATTGGTTGTGTCTAATTTGCTGTTAAATTTGTCCCTTTAATTATTTTAAAGTTTTATGACTTCAAACTTTGTGAAATGAACTGACATTGTTATGGTAGGCTGAATAATAGCTCCCTGGAGATGTCCATATTCTAATCACCAGAACCTGTGAATATGTTATATTAGATGGCAAAAAGACTTTACATATAAGATTAAGTTAAGGATTTGTAGATTGGGAGATTCTTCTGGATTATCTGGGTGGACTGGATCTTGCTGACAGATTATTATTATTATTTTTTATCCTCACCTGAGGACATTTTTCCATTTTTTGTTCAGATAGAGTGGGAGGGAGAGAGAAAAAGAGAGAAAGAGAGAAATATCAACGTGAAAGAGACACATCGAGTGGCTGTCACCCGCACGACCAACCAGGGCCGGGGACAAACTGCAACCAAAGTACACGCCCTTAGCGGAAACTGAACCTGGGTCTCTCTGGACCGCAGGCCAACGCTTTAACCGCTGAGCCAAACTGGCCAGGGCTGACAGATTGTTTGTTTTTAATAATTTTTCTTTATTGATTTTAGAGAGAGAGGAAGAAAGAGAAATAGAAACATCAATGAGAGGAACATGCCTACTGCATGCCCCCAACTGGGGACTCGGCTCACAACCTGGGCATGTGCCCTGACCAGGAATCAATCTGGCAACCTCTTGGTGCATGGGTCGATGCTCAACCACTGAGCCACACCAGTAAGGCTGATATATATATATATATCAGCCAATAAATATATATGTATTTAGATATATTTTATATAAATGTGTGTGTGTGTGTGTGTATAAAATGTGTATATATATATATATATATATATATATATATATTAACAGAGAACATGACTTTGCTTCTGCCAGGCATTTAGAGGTACTGAAACACTTTAAACTACATTCCTGACTTGGAGAGCTTTGGATTACCCAAGTTAATATTGGGCTGCAGTCAGCTCAAAGATCAGCTAGTGGTTACAGCTCAGAGTAGAGCCTTTTCGTCTGTTTAACCCCAAGGCAGCTTTCTTTAAAGTCTTCTGGAGGTGACAGTGGGGTGGATTTATTTCAGATTCAATCTTACATTAAG